CAACCAACTAAATATTTGTTCCATAAAATCATACTTTTATCTGGGCTGGGATATAGCTCAGTGGTAAATTGCTTGCCTAGTATGTGTAGAGATGCTGGGTTAAATCTCCCGTACTGCAAAAGCAAACAAACAAACAAAAAACCAACTTAATTTTTTTTTAAAATCTTTATTTTATTTGTATGTGGTGCTGAGGATCAAACCCAGTGCCTCATGCATGCCAGGCAAGCACGCTGCCACTTGAGCCACATCCCCAGCCACCCCCCCCCCCCAATTTTTTTAAAGAGTATAATTTCATAGAAAATCTCTTATTGGATTGCAATTGGGGTATCAACCATTTGAATTATGGTGAAGGAGTCATTTCACTAGAATTTTAGTGAGTTTCACTTGCAAAAATATGACAGTGAGGAATGCAGAGGGCACATTTGAACAGCACAGTGTATTGACACTCTTGTTCATTATTCTATTCATATGTTTATTCCATAAGTATTTAAGTGCCACAGCCTGAGGTAACATCGGGCCCAAAAGAGAGGAAAGTAAGGCCCTGGGCCTAAGACTGCTCCCTGGCACAGGTGAGAGGTGTGCCCTCAAGTAGTGTGAAGTGAGTATGAATGTTGCTCAGGAGGCACAGTCAGTACCAGTGTCCAGAGGACAACAGATTCAGAATTCCAGAAGAGGGACTGCTAATTCTGCCTGGCATTGCCAAACTCTCTCCATTGGTATGCCATTGTGACCAGCAGACCAAGAGAACACAGAATTATTATTAATATCAGAGACATAAAAGGGCTGCTACTTTGCCAAGAGTATATGGGGCAGAAAATGAAAAAAGTGATCATAGACACGTTGTTGAATAAGCAGGGTTAGTTGGAAATATTGGTGATGTATATTTAAAAAAAATTTTTTTTTAGTTGTGGTTGGACACAATGCCTTTATTTATTTATTTTTGTGTGGTGCTGAGGATCGAACTCAGCCCCTCGCACATGCTAGACAAGCGCTGTACCGCTGAGCCACAACCCTAGCCCCATTGGTGATATTATGGAGAAGAATGACATGGGAATCATGGGCTCAAAGTACTAGAGGACCCATGTTATCTCTTCAGAAGGTCTGAAAATGAACCCAGGAATTCTCTACCACTGAGCCACACCCCCAGCATGCCCCCTCCCACTTTTTAAAAAAAAATTTGAAACGGGGTCTCATTAATAATGTCACTGAGGCTGGCCTAGAGTTTACAGTCCTCTTGCCTTAGCCTCTGGAGTTGCTGGGATTGCAGGCATGCACCCCCATAACCCGCTGGTGTGAGAATTTTAAACAACGGTTATTAAAAAGTTCCCCAGACTTTCTGGGCCTGTAGTCTAGGTGAATTAACTCTTGATTTTCGCACTGGGTTTGTGTGATGTTGCGCCTGCTTTCATTTGCTTTACTCCACTGTGTAGAACAGGGCTAATGCAGTCTACTGACAGTTTTTATGTGCTTTAACCAGTTGTGTAATTTTTTCCAGCAATTGAAAAATAGAACATTTTATTGATCTGAAGGGTATCTCATTTCCATTGGTCTTACTTTCTCTAATTTTACTCTTTTGCTGTAGGTGTTAATTTCAGAGCCTGAACTTGGAAGTTGGGAGTTCAGGTGAGAGATGAACAGAATAGATTTGGAGTGGGAGACGCAAAGAAATGCAGGGTGGTTAAAAGGCACTGAGTTACTTATTATCCTCTTTGATCTTTGGTTGCTACTTAGACATCATTTAGGAGCTCTCTTTTCTTAGCTTTTATGAAATGTAAACTTCCAGTTTTTTTATTAACTTCTTTTTTAAAAAAATTTATTTTAAATTGACAGTTAAAATTATATTTATGGTGTACCACACGATTTGCCAACTTTTTTGCATTGTTGGCTTTTTTTTCTCTTTCCATTTCAGAGCAGGTGGGACCTTTGAAATGTTCTGTTACTCAAGTTATGTATGTTAATATCTTAAATATTAAAATATTTAAACTATTCTTCATTATGTTCTTAATTATGTAATTAAGTGGTTTTCTCCAATAAAAAAAAAAAAAAAACTTCAAAAACAAAGCTGGGTATTTTAGCCTGCATCTGGAGTCCCAGCTGCTTGAGTGGGTGTAGTGGGGAGGATTGCTCAAGTGCAGGAGTTGGGAGTCAGCCTGGGCAGCATAAAGAGACCCTGTCTCAAAAAAAAATCAAACCCCCCCCCCCCCCCCCGCCAAAAAAAAAAACCCAAACCAACCACAAAGCAAACAATAACAACAACAACATAAAAGCAAAAACTTAAAAACTATACATTTATCTCCTTTTTTTCTCTTTTTCCAGTACTGGAAATGAACCCAAGACCTTGTGCTTACTAGGCAAGTACTCTGCTACTGAGCTAAGTTCCCTAAAATCTATATATTCAGACAAAATAAAACAGGATATAGGGCTGGGGATATAGCTCAGTTGGTAGAGTGCTTGCCTCGCCATGCACAAGGCCATGGGTTCAATCCCTAGCACCACAAAAACCCCCGACTGGTACAATGGCACACATCTATAATCCTAGCTACTCAGTAATGTGAGGCAAGAGAATTGCAAATTCAAGATCAGCTTCTGCAACTTAGTAAGAAATTGTCTCAAAAAAAAAAACCAAAAAATGGAAGGGATGTAGTTTGGTTGTAGAGCACTTCTGTGTTCAATATTCAGTACCACAAAGCAAAACAAAATCCCCCAAACATAACAAAACAACAACAAACCCAAACTAACAAAAACAAACAAGAAATCCAGAGTATATTACAAATTTATGAAGCAATAACAGTTCACATAGTGCAATAAAGGTAGAGTAGTCTGTTTCATGTTGCTATAACAGAACACCTGAAACTGAGTAATTTATAAAGAACAGAATTTTACTTCCTCACAGTTCTGAAGGTTGGGAGGTCCAAGGCAAAGGTAACTTTTTTTTTTGCTAGAGGCTTTCTTGCTGCACCCTCACATGGTGGAAGGTGAAAAGGCAAAAATGGCTCCACTCCCGATGACCAGCCTTTATGGCATTAATCCATCCAGGAGAGCAGAGACCTCATTACCTAAACACCTCCCCAGAGGTTTCACTTCCCAACATTGTTGCTTTGAGGATTAGTTATCCAACATGACTTTTGGACACATTCAATCCACAACAGCAATCAAGATACATAATATTTGAAGTTTCTACACCAAAGGATTCTCCTTCCCATAGACATTAGATCCTTCCAAATCTTTATCTGATCTGTGGCACTTGAAATTTGTTAGCCCTTTAACTCAGAGACAGTTAATTTCAATAATGATGAAGACAAACAAACAGATGGTCTGTTGGAAATAATTCCAAGTTTGTTGAGCAAAGACTAAGACTCATTTGTTTTCCTAGTAAAGCTGTTACATGATCATTGGCGGGACTATTTTGCTTTGGTTGATCTAGCTCATGAACCACATTTTACTTCACAAGGTGGCCAGATGTGTATCTGTGGTAACGATGGTGGCTGCATTACTGAGCTTCCCTTTGTCTACAAATGAGAATTCCTCTGGATGTCCCACTACTTTTCACTTAATGTGTCCTTTCAAATTGATGCTAACAGCTAGGTGTAGTGGCACACACGTATAGAACAGCTACTGGGGAAACTTAGGCAGGAGGATCACAAGTTCAAGGCCAGCCTGAGCAAATTAACAAGACTCTATCTAAAAATAAAAAATAAATAAAAAGAAGAGTTTACCTCAGTGGTTAGCACATCCCTGGGATCAATACCCAGTATTGCTGATAAATAAATAAATAAATTTAAAATATATTTTTTTCTGACCCAATTGACTCAGCATTATTTTGAAACATAGAAATTTTACTTTTTACTCTGACCCATCACTCTGCTTCGATTTCTACTTTTAATAATAAGATCATACCACAGAAGAATTGGAAGAGAACTTTTAATCCAGCCTACCCTTTCTCTGATTCCATACTTCCCCTTGCTCTTTCCTGCTTGCTCTGTCTGAGGGGCAGTGACCATAAAGTCTGCTGCATCCAATGACAATCTTATGGTCTGTGGTGTTTGGGTAACTTTTTCCTGGAATTTAACAATACTTCACACTGGACAGGTGCTTAGTCAGCTTTTTTGACATTTTTCACTTGGACTATTCCAGTCTCCCTGGTACCAAAACTACATAAAGATGTCACAAGAAAGGAAAACTACAGACCAATATTCCTTATAAATATATATGCAAAAATCCTCAACAAAATACCAGCAAGCTCAATCTAGCAACATCAAAATGGGTTGTACATCATGTCCAAGTGGTATTTATCCCAAAATTCAAGGGGTTCATACATAAAAATCGATGCAACACCAGAAGGACAAAAAGCCATGAAAAGGAATGAGCTTTGAATATGTGCTAAAACATGGATTGTGTTAGGTGAAGGAAGCTCAGCTCACCAAAAGGTCAGAGATTGTATGGTTCTGTTCATATGAAATGTCTGGTAGAGGCAATCCTTCAGTCCTATGAAGATGAAGGCAGATCAGTGGTTTCCAGGGACTTGTGGAAGGAGAGAATGAAGAGTAACTGCTATAGCTTTCTTTTGGGGGTGATTAGAGTGTTCTGGAAATAAGACTGTTGTTGCACAATCTTGTGACTGTACTAAACACTGCTGAATTGTATACTTTAAAAGGATGAATTCTATGGTGTGAGAAATATATCTCAATAAAAAAGAACTGTATAAGGAGACAGCAAAGATTCCTATAGCAGCTAGTACAACATTTAGAGCAAGCAGATGCTCAAATAAATGAACTAATGAATGATAAGAACTGTAGGAAATCTTTTTCTAGACCACAAAAGAAGCCATTATTTGTTGAATAACAGGAGAGAAGTGGGCTCCAAGTGTCTTATCCCATGTAATCTCTAAGAAATTCTGTCTCAGCAGTTGCTTTGGTGAAGACTAAGTGCTCAGAGTTGGTTAAGTCTGGATTCTGTTTCCAGCTCTTCCTCCTAAGTATGGCTTTCACTTTACTTTTCAGCATCAGTATGACAGCCTGTTCCACAGTGGCCGCCCTGGGAATGATGCCACTCTGCCTTTACCTCTACACCTGGTCCTGGGATCTTGCGCAGAACCTCACCATTCCCTATCAGAACATAGGTCTGTACTGGGCTTGGGAAATGCAGCAGTCACGGTAATGGAGATAGTGCTAGGCATCGCTGTTTCTGCAGGGATTTTTATTTTTGTGTTATTTAATTTAATTCCATACATAACCTTACAGCATAGACTCTATTACTAGTTTGAATTTCTAGATTTTTGAGGTTAAATTACTGGTAAGAACAGAACTGGAATTCTTTCTTTCTCCCTCCCTCCCTCCCTTGCTCCCTTCCTTTCTTTCTTCTCTCTCTCTCTCTCCCCCTCTCTCTCTCTTTCCCTTTTTGTGAGACAGGGCCTCACTAAGTTGCCAAGGCTGACTTGAACTTGCAATCTTCCTGCCTCAGCCTTCTGAGTAGCTGAGATTATAGGCGTGAGCTGCTGCCCCTGGCTTAGAACTGGAATTCTTTTTTTTTTTTTTTAGATGAATAAAAGATGTCTTTATTTGGAATGATTGGGCCCACTTAGAAGGTAAACTTTAAAAAAATCTAAACATGGAATGAATAACAATGTAAAAATGAATTCCAGATGGACTAAAAATTCTAAAGTTAAAAAAAACTATAGAAATGTTACAATAAACTTTGTGAAAATGAAGAACTGGAATTCTAACTCAGGAATCTGACTGTAAAGTCCAAGCTCCTAACCCTTATGATGTGTCAGTCAACTTTTGTTATAAATAAACAGCAATGCACATATTCTCGTGAGGCCCCCTGGCTCCACCCTGAGTCAATATCAGGCAGTTAGTAAAATGGAAGTGAGCATGAGAAAGCAGTTGCTCCCTAGTCAGGAAGACAGAGAGAGCTGGCTGGGGCCAGGCTAAGGCTTTTATAATCACTTCTGGGGAGAAGCCATCTCTTAAAGTTTCCATTTCCCAATATAGCCACTGAGGACCAAGCTTTCAACACATGAACCTCTGGTGGAATAAACAACATCTGAACTCCCATAGCACACTATTAAGAGTTCATTTTTGAAAATAATGAAAGCCAGAGGTCTTACTTTAAAAGAAAACACAAATCTTAGATAATTAGACTATAAAGCAACAAGACTCTTTTTTTTTTTTTGGTACTGGGGATTGAACTCAGGGGCACTGGACCACTGAGCTACATCCCCAGCCTTATTTTGTATTTTTTTTTTGGAGACAGGGTGTCACTGAGTTGCTTAGTTCCTCATTTATTCTGAGGTTGGCTCCTGTCTCGGCTTCCTGAGCCGCTGGGATTACAGGTGTGTGCTGCTGCACCCAGTGCAACTGGACTCTTTATGATTCAAAGTTTACCTGATTCTAGTGGCTCTGATGAGATCTTAATGTCCCATGATTTCACCCTTCACGTTACCTGTGAGCCTTGATTTTTTCTTACAGATTGAATGTAAGTTATTTGTACTGCTTATTAGAGCTCGTCTGCATGTCACAACATCCAGATCTCATTAGCTCCTCTCTGGAATGTTATTTATCATTAAGCTCCGATTTATTCCTAAGATCTCTGTAGACTTACAAGGCTTAGAAAAGTGTGGTGAAATGATCTTCCTGTTCTAGTTTCATTGAAGTCTTTGAAGAAAAGATAGAAACTATGATTCTCAGAACTTAGAAGTGTCATCTGGAGTATCATATAAGCATCTTGAGGGCTTCAGTCCATGGCCCATAGTTCAAAACCATGAACAAAGCCATCTCCTGATAACAGGAGCCCACTACATTTGTAAAATTTGAGTGACATCCATATTTAGGAACCATTTTTTAAAAAATATTTTTTAGTTGTAGATGGACACAGTACCTTTATTTATTTTATTTATTTTTTATGTGGTGCTGAGAATCGAACTCAGTGCCTCACATGTGTCAGACAAGCACTCTACTACTGAGCCACAACCCCAGCCCACAATCACAGTTTTATGTGCAGCTTTTCTGACTAGTAAATTATTTTATATATTCTGCTTTTTTAAAATTATTTTTTAAGTTGTAGGTGAGCACAATTTTTTATTCCATTTTTGTGTGGTGCTGAGGATCGAACCCAGTGCCCCATGCATCCTAGGAGAGCACTCCACCTCTGAGTCACAACCCCAGCCCTAATATATTCTGTTTTGATAATACATTCTGAAAGAACCTAAAATGTCATGAATTACTCACAAAACTTTGGAGCCAGTATTGTGAATCTTTACCATATTTGTTGCTATAAATAAACAGCAATGCACAGGTTTCCAATGCATTTGGAAAGTGGCACTGGAAAACGTCTATGTACAGATCCTATTGGCGGGGGGACAGTCACCTTTGCTGCACTGAGCCTGCCTTCAATGGCTTTATTCACTTGAGCTAATTACAAAGGCATTTGTTTTTTCTACTCATCTTTGGGTCACCTGGCGACACTTGGGAAATATGAGAAGTTGCTATGGTGGTGTAGCAAATGCTATTTCTAATGTCTACAATAGGTGTTCTTTACTCGGTGAAGCAAATGACACATTGGCCTCGAATAAGGAAGCAATAGCTATGATTTTAGAGGGATAACACCTATATGTAGGGACCAAAGAATTTCATGGATTTTAAAATGATCTTCCTGTTTTCTAACCTTTTCATTTCCTGTTTCTCTAACTCTTCATGTGATTGTCAGAAGGATTCTGAGAAGGAAGTTGATGAACCAGGTCTGGTGGCACTCATTAGTATCATATGACCTTTGAAAACTGTCTTTCAGAGATCGTTTTTATTTTTGGAGATGGATACAAAAACAAAATGCAACTTTCATTAAAGTATGTTATCTAATTGAAATAGAATTTTTTTAGGAAGGACTGGGTAGTTAGGGTGAGAGGGGATACGGTCTGATGAATTTTTCTTCTCTTCAGGAATTACCCTTGTGTGCCTGACCATTCCTGTTGCCTTCGGTATCTGTGTGAATTACAGGTGGCCAAAACAATCAAAACTCATTCTCAAGGTAAGCAAGTGCACACACAGTTAGCACATTCTCAGATTCAGACACATGAAAGATGGAGATCAATGGCTGGAACAAATGAGCTGATCGAACACAGCTCCACATTCTGTAATTCAATTTTGCTTTTTTTTTTTTGCTACTGAGGATTGAACCCAGGAGCACTGTACCACTGAGCTACATCCCCAGAACTTTTAATTTTGAATCAGGGTCTCACTAAAGTTGCCCAGGCTGGACTCAAACTTGTGATACTCCTGCCTTTGAATCACTGGGATTACAGTCTTGCAACATCTTGCCTGGTGCAATTTCCTTATTTGTCCTGAGGCTTGAAATCCAGCTCTTGTATCTCTGTACTTAAAAAAAAAACTTTATGTATGTATGTATGTATGTATGTGGTAATGAGGATAGAACCCAGTGCCTCACAAGTGCTAGGCAAGTGCTCTACCACTGAGCCACAACCTCAGCCCATTCCTATATTTCTTTAAGCCTTGCTCTGATGCTCCCACAGGTCAAACCAAGTCTTGCAACATTTTGGAAAACATATGGGCCTCTTAGTGACAGAAAAGCTAAGGCCTAGATGTGGACAGAGAAAGTCCAAGACCTGCCCATCCACTAGGCTTTACACAGGTGCTTTCAAGGCAAAAGCTGTTCAAGTGTTCATGAAGTGGAGCCCCAGCTTTAGAAACATGGCTGGTTCTTTTTTTTTTAAATTTTTATTGTTGGTTGTTCAAAACATTACATAGTTCTTGATATATCATATTTCACACTTTGATTCAAGTGGGTTATGAACTCCCATTTTTACCCCGTATACAAATTGCAGAATCACATCAGTTACACATCCATTGATTTACATATTGCCATATTAGTGTCTGTTGTATTCTGCTGCCTTTCCTATCCTCTACTATCCCCCCTCCCCTCCCCTCCCCTCCCCTCTTCTCTCTCTACCCCCTCTACTGTCATTCATTTCTCCCCCTTGTATTATTTTTCCCTTTCCCCTCACTTCCTCTTGTATGTAATTTTGTATAACCCTGAGGGTCTCCTTCTATTTCCATGCAATTTCCCTTCTCTCTCCCTTTCCCTCCCACCTCTCATCCCTGTTTAATGTTAATCTTCTTCTCATGCTCTTCGACCCTACTCTGTTCTTAGCTACTCTCCTTATATCAAAGAAGACATTTGACATTTGTTTTTTAGGGATTGGCTAGCTTCACTTAGCATAATCTGCTCTAATGCCATCCATTTCCCTGTAAATTCTATGATTTTGTCATTTTTTAATGCAGAGTAATACTCCATTGTGTATAAATGCCACATTTTTTTTATCCATTCATCCATTGAAGGGCATCTAGGTTGGTTCCACAGTCTAGCTATTGTGAATTGTGCTGCTATGAACATCGATGTAGCAGTGTCCCTGTAGCATGCTCTTTTTAGGTCTTTAGGGAATAGACCGAGAAGGGGAATAGCTGGGTCAAATGGTGGCTCCATTCCCAGCTTTCCAAGAAATCTCCATACTGCTTTCCAAATTGGCTGCACCAATTTGCAGTCCCACCAGCAATGTACAAGTGTACCCTTTTCCCCACATCCTCGCCAGCACTTGTTGTTGTTTGACTTCATAATGGCTGCCAATCTTACTGGAGTGAGATGGTATCTTAGGGTGGTTTTGATTTGCATTTCTCAGACTGCTAGAGATGGTGAGCATTTTTTCATGTACTTGTTGATTGATTGTATGTCCTCCTCTGAGAAGTGTCTGTTCAGGTCCTTGGCCCATTTGTTGATTGGGTTATTTGTTTTCTTATTGTTTAATTTTTTGAGTTCTTTGTATACTCTGGATATTAGGGCTCTATCTGAAGTGTGAGGAGTAAAGATTTGTTCCCAGGATGTAGGCTCCCTATTTACCTCTCTTATTGTTTCTTTTGCTGAGAAAAAACTTTTTAGTTTGAGTAAGTCCCATTTGTTGATTCTAGTTATTAACTCTTGTGCTATGGGTGTCCTATTGAGGAATTTAGAGCCCGACCCCACCATATGTAGATCGTAGCCAACTTTTTCTTCTATCAGATGGCGTGTCTCTGATTTGATATCAAGCTCCTTGATCCATTTTGAGTTAACTTTTGTGCATGGCGAGAGAAAGGGATTCAGTTTCATTTTGTTGCATATGGCTTTCCAGTTTTCCCAGCACCATTTGTTGAAGATGCTATCCTTCCTCCATTGCATGCTTTTAGCCCCTTTATCAAATATAAGATAGTTGTAGTTTTGTGGATTGGTTTCTGTGTCCTCTATTCTGTACCATTGGTCCACCCGCCTGTTTTGGTACCAGTACCATGCTGTTTTTGTTACTGTTGCTCTGTAGTATAGTTTCAAGTCTGGTATCGCTATACCGCCTGATTCACACTTCCTGCTTAGCATTGTTTTTGCTATTCTGGGTCTTTTATTTTTCCATATGAATTTCATGATTGCTTTCTCTATTTCTACAAGAAATGCCATTGGGATTTTGATTGGCATTGCATTAAACCTATAGAGAACTTTTGGTAATATCGCCATTTTTATGATGTTAGTTCTGCCTATCCATGAACAGGGTATATTTTTCCATCTTCTAAGATCTTCTTCTATTTCTCTCTTTAGGGTTCTGTAGTTTTCATTGTATAAGTCTTTCACCTCTTTTGTTAGGTTGATTCCCAAGTATTTTATTTTTTTTGAGGATATTGTGAATGGAGTGATTGTCCTCATTTTCATTTCAGAGGATTTGTCACTGATATACAGGAATGCCTTTGATTTATGCGTGTTGATTTTATATCCTGCCACTTTGCTGAATTCATTTATTAGCTCTAATAGTTTCTTT